TCTTTCCTTACGTCCAAATTCCTAAACCTGATTTTGAAGATGGATTCTCAATGTATTTAAATACTTTTTAAGATAGCAGTCTTTTCTTTCTCTCTTTCTTTTTGCATTCTCTTCCCCAGCCCCCTACCCTACTGGCTGGAAATCTACTCACTACTTTACTACATTTTTCTGTTTCCTGCTTTCCTCAAACAGGTGTCTCCTTTCAGATCATTCTCTTCTGTCTGTCTGAATCTTTCCTGTTCCCTGTAACTAACATTAATCCCTCCTTTTCAGAGCAACTTTCTCTTAGCTTCTCTTAAACAAATGTGAGGCCTCCCTACTAATAACCAACCTAGAGCTTGATTTTTATGAGGTGGGACTTTGCATACTTTTCTTCGATCTCCACCAGAACATCTAAGTTTCACAGGGGTACGAATTATTCTTGAACACTTTTGAAATCTGAACAGGGCTGGCACGGTTTCTTACACAGGTTAGATGACCATTAACAATTGGCTGCTCAACTATATGAAGACCAGAGGTGACCAGATGTTTCTGTGGAGACCGATTTGATAAGAGTTGTGGTCCCCTGTGGGGACTTGTTCAACTTGAGGCCCAGTGTAGGCAGAGGTGGAGAGGTAGCTGGTGATGAATTAGACATCACTAAAAGGTAAAAATTTTCTCATAAATTCTTCTAGAATTGCTATTTTTTCCTTGTCTTGCACCTCCTTCCGAAATACTTTCCTTAGTGACCATGGACTTGGAAAACAAATGATGCATTGTATTCCCATCTCCATGTATTTTTTTTTTCTTGTGTTACATTCAGAAGTTTAGAGAGAGGACCTGCAAAGGTGCTTTCTGCAGGAAGGGTATTGATATTGACCCTGCAGTATTAATGGTTGGCACCTGCTTAAAAAAATAGCAGTGTTTCCAATCACTTCACAGGTGTCTGAAGGCCATCTGCTAGAAATATTCCCGATGTTCCTTGTAGTCAGAAGCTTATTTTAAATTTCTAGCTGCCTTTGAAATGAAATTTCTCTACTTACCAGATCAATGTTCAATACATTCACCTTCTTACATATTTGTCCAACTCTAAAGTTAGTCCCTGCTTCTTTACTCTGTCTTGGCACCTTTTTTTATTTCTTGGCTTCTCACTATTACACATTTTCAAACAGTCTACTAGCATGTTTATACTCAAGAAAAGAGGTAAACATAACCATACTTTCAGAAAGCCTTAAGAGCATTTGTCTCTGGTCCTTATTACTAAGAACCTTGTTAATGATGTGCTGCCATTAAGAAGTCACAATATGCTTTAAGTATTTCCATCATGAGCTAAAAAATTGCCAATTATTTTCTCTTAATCCAGGACATGATTTTGTTATTATCTATCCGTTTAATAAGAGTAGAGATTAAGCCCATTAAGATGATCTCACTAGCTCAAATAATTTGTAAAAGAGCATGAGATAGAAAGGATAAGTCATTTATATGAGCCCAAGTTTGTGACAAGAAAAGGGAACGAAGTTGGCAAAGAAGGTAGCAAAAATGGCTTTGTTATTTGACTTCCAGCTCATTAGTCCCAGCCACATAAAATTGTCAGGTACCTATGGAGAGATTTAAATGCATTGCTGGTTTTCTAGCAAAATAAGCAATATGTTTACTAGCAATATATTTCTAGTCTGATGGGAAAAATGACATACGAGAACTTTGCAGATTTGAACAAATTTCTTAAGATTTCCAACCTCCTTTTACAGGAAGCAATTTTCTCAAGTCCCAGACTCGAAAAATTTTCCTCACCCAAGAATAGAACCATACTAATAAAACAGCCATTTTCTCTTTAAGTACAAACCATCCCCCAGATTGTGGTACTAGAGACATTTTGGTTATTTCTCCCCCGTTAATTAACACATAGAAATCAATTAGGTTTGCTCCTGTAATTTTCATTTAGAATAGAGCATTAAATTTAACAGATGATCAGTCTTATTACTTTCACTGAGAGGTTTCTTGTAGCTAGTAGCCACCTGCTTGCAAGCATTTTTATATGGTGTTCCACACTTCCTTTTTTGAAAGCAGATTCCCGTAGCATCTGCATCAGAATCACCTGGGACGCTCATTAAATATGCATGTTGTTGGTTCTCAGGGACGTCTACGGAGTGTGCCTGGGGAATGTTAACCTTAACGAACACCTTCAGTGATTCTGATATACACCAACATTTGAGAAATGATGCATCCGTGAGTATGTTTTTAGACAACTGAGATGATTCACATGACAATGAATTATGGCCATACAAATCACCAGTGTCCATAACCGGTATTAGCCAAGAATCCCTGTGTATACTCTCACTTTTGACACAAAGTGGGATGGTCATTTGTGTGTTGCCATTGAAATGAATTCAGAAAATTCACTCAAGAATTGCAAGATAATTGCCGTAGATAAAAACTTAGTTGGAAATGACAATGCCAATACAGCCTTAAGAGTATCTTTGTTTCTGAATGGAAAAGATGACCAAGGAAAAATGGTCAGAGAGAGGGAGGTAAATGCAGTTGGAGGTATAGTTTGAAGGAAACAAAAAATTTAATTGCTTTTTTAAAAAAGCTTATTTAGGGGCGCCTGGGTGGCGCAGTGGGTTAAGCGTCCGACTTCAGCCAGGTCAGGATCTCGCGGTCTGTGAGTTCGAGCCCCGCGTCGGGCTCTGGGCTGATGGCTCAGGCCTGGAGCCTGTTTCCGATTCTGTGTCTCCCTCTCTCTCTGCCCCTCCCCCGTTCATGCTCTGTCTCTCTCTGTCCCAAAAATAAATAAACGTTGGAAAAAAAAAAAAAAGCTTATTTATTGTGTGTATGTGTGTGTGTGTGAGAGAGAGAGAGAGGAGAGAGAGAACATAAGCATACAAGGGGCAGAGAGAGAGAGGGAGAGAGAGAATCCCAAGCAGTTTCCACACTTTTAGTGCAGAGCCCAGTGCAGGACTCTATTCCATGAGTCATGAAATCATGACCCGAGCCAAAATCAAGAGTCAGATGCTCACCCAACTCAGCCACCCAGGAGCCCCCAAATTCAGTTGTTAATGAACACATATTGTTCTAATTCAAAGAAAAGTATAAATGTGCATTGGTAAATCTTAGTATTGCATGTAGAAAATACTACTCATTGTCTTTTTAAATTATGCATAAAAGCTTAAAACAGACAAAATCAAGTGGATTTTTTAAGTTATTTTTTTGTGATTTTCTCTTCTTTTAGAACAAGAGATAGAAGTCAGAAAATGATAGAAGAATGTATCTTCAAGGGAGGATGCAAATAATTATTCAATCCAAAACAAATTAATAGATTTAATGCAACTAAGACTTCTTTGGTATCTGTTCTGTGAGCAGAACTGTCTTAGGTCCCGGAAAATCAAAGATTAAAAAGCCACTGATTCCGCGAAGGAAACTTAAGTGTGTACTACTAAAAGAAAGAAGCTGATATGAAAAAGGTGCATGTTGTACGTGTAAGACATTCTGCAAAAGACAAAACTCTGGAGATGGTAAAATGATTAGTGATAGCTGCTAAGAGTTAACGGGGAGGGATGAATAGAAAAACAGAGAGGATTTTTAGGGCAGAGAAATTACCCTGTACGACACTGTAATGGTATATCACATCATTATATATTTGCCTAAATCCATAAAATGTACAACACCAAGAGTGAACTCTAATGTAAACTGTGGTCTTTGGGTGATAATGATGTGTCCGTGTAGGTTCACTAATTGTAACAAAGGTACCTTTGTGGTGAGGATGTTGATGATACAGGAAGCTACGGGTTTGGATGCGAGAGTGGGAGTTAGTGGATATATGGGAACTCTATTTTCTGCTCAATTTTGCCATGAACCTAAAACTGCTTTAACAAATAAAGTTTATTAAGAAATAGTTACTGAGATTTCTTGGAAGACACAATGGTCTAATGGCTGGGACTGATGCTGAAATACCCCATAGAGTCCAGAGTCATCAAGGCAATGGGGAAAGTAAATATTAAGAAGTGGGGCCCCATGCAGGAGGGAAGGGTCAGGGAAGACCTTCAAAAAGTGGGACATCTGAACTGGATTGTGACAAACCTGTTAGATAGATACATTCCATCATATTGACACTCCAGTGTATTGACCTTAGTTGGGGAACTTTAAGTCATCTGATCTTGCTGGAGGAAAACTGGAAGGGTGGGGAGAGCAGTAAGAATGAGGATGGACAAGGAGGCAGGGGCCAAGTCAGGAAGGCTGCCATGCTCACACACCCATTCATATATACATACACACACACACGCACATACACAAACACATACATACACATGCATATTCACAAATATACAGCCATATTCTAAAGACTAAGCCTTTTAACCTGTTGGGAAATCACTGAAAAACTTTTAGCAGGAAAATAATGTGGCCTGATTTACATTTTATAAAGAGCTGTAGGATATTTATGGGGAGATAGAAGGGAACAGAGGATGGATGGAAATATCCAGTCAAGTTAACTGGATGAGGTTAAGATTCTATGACAATAAAGGAAAGGGCAGATTCAGATTCAAGAGATATTGAAGAAATTGGGATCAGCTGAACTCGTTGAGTCCTCCCTTGTGGAAGGTAAGAGAGGGAAGAATCAGATATTTGCTCTCAAGTGTTGAGCTTAAGAAAATGAGTGGATGTTACACTTCTCATGGTGATGTCCACCCTCGGCTGGGTGCTGGGGATTCAGCAATGAACAACAGGTCCTTGTCACTGTTAGTGAGAAAAGAAGGCTTGACACAATAGCTACAAGTATGGCATCTGTTGTGAAAGAGGAAGCATAGCTATCTATCCAGGAGAAGTCTAGGATGGAGACCTCTGAAAGCCATCAGTATATAGTCAAGAGCTGACATCATAAAGATGAATGAGGTGGCCAGGAGAGGATGGCAAATGAGAGAAGGAGAGGGTTGCAGACAGAAATGTGGGCATCCCACTATGAGAAGAAGAGCAAAGGAGCCCATGAAGGAATGGTCAGCAAATCATGGAGGGAGAATCAAGGCATCAAGGGAGGAACTTCAAGAAGAAGAATGAAGTGGCCAAGACATGCTATGGAGAACTTAAATAAGATAAAGCCTCAGAGTTGTCCCTGGGTCTTGTGACGTGGAAGACTTTGTGATGCTTACAAGAACTGCTAGTGGCATGGGTGAGGCCTCATAGGAGTGTGCTGAGAATGAAGGACAAGTTACAAGGGAAGACAACCAAAGATGACATCTTCCTGATGCTTGGTCCTTGAAGGAATGAGAGAGGAAAGGAAATAGACACAGGATAAAGGGCAAGTGCTTGAAAATGGGAGGCATTGGAACACTTTGAGTAATGAATGAAAAGAAGCTAGTAGAGAAGGAGGAGTTGAAAATGAAGCAGAGAAAGGCTAAATTATGGAGCTATGTCCATTAAGGTCAGGAGAGCGGGGGTCCATTGATAAGTCTTGAGTGAGCTTTAAACAAGGAGAACGTGGTTTTTCTTCAAAGCGAAATGGAGAGAGGTAAGAGTGTGTATGGATGTATGGAAAGAAGGAAGTGGAGGCTGAGAGGAACCGAGGGGTTCTAAGATAGAAATTCAACTTTTTAGATGTCACGAAAATTGTCAGTCTTGATCATTTTGATATTTATATCCCGTAACATACTATCCTCCTACTTAAACTTTTAGCTTATAAGATTAAGAAATATGATAAAAAATTTAAAAAAATAGTGGTTCCAAAACAAAGTGAATGTCAAACATGAAAAATGGACACAATTTTTAATGGTCTTCCCTAGGGCTTTATATTTAAACAAGGCAAGGGCCTCTGAACCCTATAGATCACAACAGGAACATGATTCCAGAAAATTCTGAGGTCATGTCATTCTTGGAGATTTTTCTAACAAACAGAAGCTTTGCTGTGGACTTCTATAAATATTTATCTGCCATGACTCTTATCCACAGGAGGTTAAAGATCTCTGAATTTTGGATGAGAATGCATGGCTGTGTGATTTGACCTGAATTAGCCGGCAAAAAGAAATCTTCAGATTTTAAACTACTAAGTGCAACAAAATAATGACATCTTTTGCAAACATTACAAGATAATAGGAGGTGGTCTGGTCATTTATGAAACAATGTAAGTACTGTAATAACGTTTATCATTATAACCATATTTAATACATTATATTTGCTTTCAGATCGGTTATGATTGCCTCACCAGAAAATAAAATGGGACATATTCTTACAATGTTATGAGATGTTAACTGGGTTAATTTTAATGTTAGAAATTTGTTAACCTCCTCCTTACTTTTCAGCTGCTCCTCGTTTAAATTTGTCAGCCCGCATGCCATTTTATTCAAAGATTTGCCACGCATTCCCATTAAAATGCATGATCATTTTTTACTTTCCAATGTTAAGATTTTTCAGCTTCCAAACATCGGTAACTTCTTGATGCCTTTATTACCCAGGTAGATCATTTTATTGATTTAAAAATAGACATAAGTGGGGCGCCTGGGTGGCGCAGTCGATTAAGCGTCCGACTTCAGCCAGGTCACGATCTCGCGGTCCTGGAGTTCGAGCCCCGCGTCAGGCTATGGGCTGATGGCTCAGAGCCTGGAGCCTGTTTCTGATTCTGTGTCTCCCTCTCTCTCTGTCCCTCCCCTGTTCATGCTCTGTCTCTCTCTGTCCCAAAAATAAATAAACGTTGAAAAAAAATTAAATAAAAAAAAATAAAAATAGACATAAGACAATGTATTCAATAGGTCATTCAAGAGAATGAAATATGAAGAGTAGAAAGAAAAAGATACCATTATCAATTTTTTTAGAAATGTATTTATTTGTTATTAGCTTGATCACCGGCACGGTGTATCAGAATCCTTGAAAGAATATTAACCTGAAACAAATGCAATTGTTCTCTTGGCAATTTTCTGGTGTTTATTGAGATAAACAGAATGGTTTTGGTGTGAGGCAAAGTGGAATGGGGAAATATTGTTATATTTTAGGGCTCCCTCCCTCCTGTCTGCAACAATTTGACAAGGGAGCGTATATAGTTATTAGTGTGACAAGCAGCATATACAGGACAAGTTTGAGAGAGGTTTCCCAAATGTGACAAGTCTGATATTTACATGATATTACAGAAAATAAGCCATAAATCTGAAAAGAAGTTTTATAAACTGCCAATAATAAGAAATAGATTTCAGCCAACCATGCCAGAGCAAAGTGCATTTGTTTTCCTCCTCTCTATGGGAAATATGACAACGTAGTTTTCATATGAAGGAGTCATCAAATAATATGCAGGCAAAAATATAGGAAAAAGACTTATAAATATGTTTAATTATTAAAAGGTGTTTAATTAATAGAAATGTTATTTTTCCAGATTTTGTGCTGTCAACTGTGAAGACTTTGTGATTTCTTGTATTTATTCTCCCATTGTAAATAAATATTCACTTTCATATTTACTTTTGTATTTTGCATTCTTTTTTTTTATTTAAAAAAATTTTTTTTTTTCAACTTTTATTTATTTTTGGGACAGAGAGAGACAGAGCATGAACGGGGGAGGGGCAGAGAGAGAGGGAGACACAGAATCGGAAACAGGCTCCAGGCTCTGAGCCATCAGCCCAGAGCCTGACGCGGGGCTCGAACTCCCGGACCGCGAGATCGTGACCTGGCTGAAGTCGGACGCTTAACGGACTGTGCCACCCAGGCGCCCCTGCATTCTTTTTTTTAAAGGCTCCGCAAACTCTATATCTGCCCTAAGGCAGATTTTAGAATTTTCATTGAAAATAGCTTTTTCCAGGACATTTTCAAAAATGTTTTCGTATTTGATGTTTCCCTGGAGAAGCGTCCTTTATCCCTGTCCAAGGAGTCAGCATTTCATTGCTGTGAAATCTTATATTTTACAGTACTTACGTTTTTCTTAACGATCAATGTCTCTTTTTATGTTTAGTCTATTGGCTTTTATTTTTCTACTACTAGTGGCTCCCACTACACAAAAGAACAAACTCCATGGTTACACTGCAATCATAAAACAACATTTACATAGTGATGTTTATGATTTGAAGGTATACGTACATAGAAGTAAATGTAGCCGCTGAGTGTTTCTTCGCAAAAATAGCCAGAGTGTTTCTCCCTCTTGTAATGTACTTTCTACAATTAAAAGCATTTCTGGAAACTAATACACACAAAATCCTGAGTATAAAAGGATATTTTTATACTCAATATCTAAGGGTACCGATTTTAGATGTAATAGATGTATTGCCCTGCAGTCATGATAGTTTTAGAAGCCCTTTGCATGACTCTATTTCAGGAAGGATTCAAAGGTAGTTATTTTCACATTTATTTTCTAAAGTTCAATATCTGGGGACACAGATACATTTATATATATCTTCATAACACACCTTTGGCAGTCACATATGAATTGATTATTTCAGGATCACATGGTGTTTTCTCTTCCCTGCTATCTTTTCATAGCTGCTCCAATATTCTTGAATATAATATAAGGTGTCTAAATGGGTAATTGAAGTTCTCCCAAGTCCAAGAAGACTTAAAACCTCTTACAAGTCAGGGCAACTTTGGTCCTCAGTGTACATAACCTTTTTTTTTTTTTTAATGAACATGATGGAAAGCAGGAGATATATGGAAATGTTGTGTTCTGAATTGCCCGCGTGAGACGGCCGTGTCCCAGCAAACGGCTGACCACTCTAGTTCCGCAGCATGATAACTTGTGGATAACTTTTCTCCAGTCGGCTTTTTCAAGGTCAAGATTGAGGGTGATCCTGAGAAGAGAGCCGTGGCCACCGCCTACACCCCGTTCCCAGCCAACTGTCTAAAGATGTGTGCTGATGTTCACATGTTAGAGGACGAGCAGAAATTAGGCAGGGACAAGTGCAAATGTACCTCTGAGAGTGACAGGCTACTTCACCGTCTACCTACTCCGGCCCAGAAGATGGCAAATCTGTGGCATCATCTCCATAAAGGAAGGGGCGTCTGTTATTGTAGACGCCAATTAGTGAGGCGAAAAAAGAATTGCTAGTTTGAAAGCACTTTGTCACTTCGAAAGTCAAGCTCAGCAAACAGGGGCACATACAATGCAATTTTGAAATACTGCATAACTGTCATATTCTGGCAAGTTTGGCAATATTTCCATTTATGTGAAAGTGTGTGATGCTAATTTTTACTGTACTTATATCTAGGTGCTTCTGTTGATAATTGGCCAGAAGTTAAAAGGCTCTATGTAGTTAAGCCAAAATTCCATCCACACAAATGAAATAAAGGATATTTACTTCGGCTCCTATTTTATCATGTGAGGCAGCTATGGATTCCAGCTAGACACAGTGTATATTTTCCCCTAGACTTGATGTTCTTTAACGTTAACACGGCAACAGATCACAGGATTTATTTTCCCCTGTAGAATCTACTGCAAGCTGCAACTACCTTGTTTTCCTGAATTCCACTTACAGCAGTACTTTGTCTTAGGAAATTGAGTTAGAATTGAGTGTGGTTGTGAAACATATAAATAGTATGTCTTGATGAACTACGGGGCTTGGCAAAAGTGGTTTCCATCTAGGGCGGATACAAGTCAAGATGGGAAGATGATCTTTTATACCTAATTGATAAAAGATTTCTCTGTGCACCCTGCAGATCATTGACTCTCATAAGCGAAAGTGGGAGCTTATTAGGCATTGGCAAACAGTAGTACTTTGGCCTAGAAAAAGTAATTATGGAGAAGCTTTATCCGTAGGGCAATGGAGCTCACAGAGAATTTAGGAACAAAACAGTTTGTCACGTAGTTTCTTTCCTTTGTAGAAATCCATTCCTTGTCCAGTCAATTTTACTACGTACTACCTTACCATGTTGCTACATTTTTGGGGTGTGTTTAAAGATCGACACCCGGAGTGGCATAAAGCTAACAGGAGCCCACATAATTCAAGCATTGATTTTAATTGTCCTGTGCTTTTGCAATGCCAATTTAGATTTCATTTTGAAAGCTTGAATTTTTAATGAGTTATTATTACTTTGTATTAGTCCATGGCTAGAGTCTTAGAAGTTTTGAAGGCATTGATAGGTTTCATTTTTTGCAGTTTTCAAGCAGATTACAGAGAAATAAATGTTCGGTATGGAGTCTCCCATCCAATGGCATCAAAAACTCCACAAAAAGCCCCTGTGAAGTTGAGTTTTATTTTTAACTCGGTGGAAATTCACTACTAATTCATAATAGATGGCTTATCCATTACAATAAATGCACGGGCTCATTATATATCGACTAAATATACTTATTTGTAAAAAGCCATGCCTAGCTATTCTTTTTTTTCATTAAAAAATTTTTTTTTAGTATTTTAATTTTATTTCTGAGACAGAGGGAGACACAGTGCGAGCAGGGGTGGGGCAGAGAGAGAAGGAGACACAGGATCCGAAGCAGGCTCCAGGCTTTGAGCTGTTGGCACAGGGCCTGATGCGGGGCTCGAACTCACGGTCTGTGAGATCATGACTTGAGCCCAAGTTGGATGCTTACCCAACTGGGCCACCCGGGTGCCCCGCCCCCCCCAGAGCTATTCTTTATCATTTCAAATGACAACCTTTATTTTGGTCATAAATAGAATGATCAAGCTGACTGTGTCTGTTTTAAATTAAGAGGATACAACATGTTGGTTTTGCCTGCTGATGAGTAGGGAACAAAATCAAGGTAAGGCAGATATGGAGGAAGACTAGAAAAACCAGCTGTGATGGAATACATGGTTTTTTCCCCCAGCTTCTGCCCAAAAGTCCAACTGAATTCACATAGGCCTTCTCCATGGGCACTGATGCCTGCTGAGCAGACAACCAGGAAGGTGAGGGTAAAGTCAAGGTGACTGGAAGGAGACCAGAAACCAATTTTACCTCTGGATAAAGACAAGTTGGAATAACTTAACAAACAAACAGCCCCATTTTCATCACTCAATGACTAGACTGCTTCAGGGTGGGCTTGTTAGCTAGCGGTGAGAACCAGGAGCTGTCTGTGCTTCAGACAGATAGGGAGACACCACGTTCTCTTTTCTTACACTCTGAGTTGGTCATTTTGGCATCCATTTGTCACAACACCAGTTGTATTAACTATATTTTTTTGTTCTTTGTACCCTTGAAGGTCTGGCATTTGTGGTCTCACTGAGTGGAGAGTCAGCCCCTCCCAAGGTTACCTAGGTTTCATTGTTTTATTTTTATTATTTTATTTTATTTATATTTTAATTAGGTAATATACAGTGCAGTACTGGTTTCAGGATTAGAATTCAGTGATTCATCACTCATATACAGCATCCAGTGCTCATCACAAGTTTTCTCCTTAATACCCATCACCAATCTAGCCCATCTCCCACCCACCTCCCTCCATCAACCCTCAGTGTGTTCTGTATCATTATGAGTCTCTGATGGTTTGTTTCCCTTTCTTCTCTTTCCTTTCTCCATTCTCATATGTTCATCTGTTTTGTTTTTTAAATTCCACATATCAGTGAAATCGTATGATATTTGTCTTTTTCTGTTTGACTCATTCCAATTCATAATACATTCTAGCTCCATCCATGTCATTGAGAATGGTAGGATTTCTTTTTTTTTTTTTTTATAAATCGGTGGTTGAGTAATATTCAGGTGTATATAGATACCACATCTTCTTTACCCATTCATCAGCAAATGGACATTTGAGCTCTCTCCATAGTTTGGCTATTGTTGATAATGCTGCTAGAAACATCAGCGTGCATGCACCCCTTTGAATCTGCATTTTTGCATCCCCTGGGTAAATACCTAATAGTGAAATTGCTGGATCATAGGGTAGTTCTTTTTTTTCTTGAAGAAACTCCATACTGGTTTCCAGAGTAGCTGCAGCATTTTTATTCCCACCAATGGTGCAAAAGTGTCCCCCCTTCTCTGCATCCTCACCAACATGTGTTGTTTCTTGTGTTGTGAATTTTTTAGCCATTCTGACAGGCGTGAGATGGTATCTCATCATGGTTTTGATTTGTATTTCCCTGATGATGAGTGATGTTGAACATCTTTTCATGTGTTTGCTAGCCATATGGATGCATTCTTTGGAAAAGTGTCTATTCATGTCTTCTGCCCATTTCTTAACTGGGTTATTTGTTTTTTAGGCTGTTGAGTTTGATAAGTTCTGTATAGATTTTGGACACTAACCCTTTATCAGATATGTCATTTGCAAATGTCTTTTCCCATTCCTTAGGCTGCCTTTTAGTTTTGTTGATTGTTTCCTTCAATGTGCAGAAACTTGTCATCTTGATGAAGTGCCAATAGTTCACGTTTCCTTTTGTTTCCCTTGCCTTCAGTGATGTGTCTAGTAGAAGTTGCTCTGGCCAAGGTCAAAGAGGTTGCTGCTTGTGTTCTTTCTAGGATTTTGATTGTTTCCTGTCTCACATTTAAGTCTTTCATCCATTTTGAATTTACTTTTGTGTATGGTGTAAGAAAATGGTGCAGTTTTATTCCTTTGTATGTCACCATGGAAGCAGCAGAAAAAGAAATCAAGGAATCAATCTCATTTACAACTGCACCAAAAACAATAGGATACCTAGGAATGAACCTCACTAAAGAGGGAAAAGATCTGTACTCTGAAATAGAAGACTTATGAAAAATATTGAAGAGGACACAAAGGAATGGAAAAACATTCCATGCTTATGGACTGGAAGAACAAACATTGTTAAAATGTCTATACTACCCAAAGCAATCTACACATTTAATGGAATCACTCTTAAAGTACCATCAGCATTCTTGCCAGAGCTAGAACAAACACTCCTAAAATTTTTATGGAACCACAAAAGACCCGAAATAGCCAAACAATCCTAAAAAAGAAAAACAAATTTGGAAGCATCACAATTCTGGATTTCAAGCTACATAGCAAAGCTGTAGTCACTGAGACAGTATAGTCCTGGCATGAAAACAAACACAAAGGTCAATGGAATAGAATGGAAAACCCAGAAATGGACCCACAACTATACGGTCAACTCATCTTTGACAAATCAAGAAAGAATATCCAATGGAAAAAAGGTAGTGTCTCCAACAATTGGTGTTAGGAAAACCGGACTGAGACATACTTATGTTTTAGAGATAAAAAAAAGCTCTTCTGGAACACACATTTTTCATATGTAAACTAACCAATCTGGAGCCCACACCCTCTATCTCCTTTATCAAACTGTCTCACACCAAACCAATATTCTCCTTCTCTACATGAACTCAGGGCCGTGTACCTGGCAACTGGATAGCTTCTATGCCCCAAGGTTCCCTGGAATTATTCAAACCAGCCAATCCTAAGCTGTTTAGTCTGTCCTGCCTTGTCTTTCCCGTGAAAGCCACTAAAGTCTCTGATCTGAATTTTCCTCTCTTTGCTTCTGCTTCCGGACCAAAACTGGTGCTTCCTTATGTTCCCTTGCATGATGTAGCATGTTCCTTCTTGGGAAATGTCAACAGTAAAATTCTCTCAATGCCATTGGCGTCTCACTCAGTCACCTCTATATATTAAAATCTTATGGGTACATTTTGAGACACACAGCCTTGATTATATAGTGAGTGGTCATGAGATAAGAGCTCTTAACTTAAACTATTTTCCAGTAGTTAGGGTATTTGTAAAGATTTTTCTTGGCTTGGGACTGAATGAGCCAAGCTTATACGTGACAGTCATCACCTTGGGAAGTTGGATCAGGCAGAAACAAAGAAATGGCTAAACATATCAGTATACAGCAATAGTTCAACCCATATGGACAAAGAAAGAGAGAATTTATATCCTGCTTTAGGAATGCCTTGCCATTTTTTAAAGTGCAAGTCTTCTGTTCATTAGTTAGAATATTAACCTTAATTCCATGGTTCAGTTTATCAGCATATATCTTCCAAGCACCCTGTTAAGTGCTATGGAGGCCAAAAACAGAGGCAAAGCATTATTTTTACTCTTAAAGTTTATGCAATCTAAATAGTAGTAACACCATTTCTGCTAGCCTGAGTTTCTTAGAAGTTGAGACCAAGGTAAGATTAGATGTAGAAGAAACTTTTTGGATGAAATGAGACACTCATGGATCGCTTGCTTTTCTGTACAGCTCGTGACTGCCCTTGTTGTAGACTATCTTTTCAAGGATATTTGTAGAGTAAATAGCCTTGGAATCAGAGATAGTACAGAGCACAGAACAGAATGTTTACTGTCTAGTGTATTAAAAATACTGTCTCCCTTCAAGGTACAGTTCAGGAAGACTTAAGAGTCATTATAAGAAATTCAAATTTCCTAAGATTGGGCAACCTCTTATATTAAAAAAACAAACTTCTCAAAAACAAAACCCCAACACAATCCTCCATATGAGGGATGCCACCTTGGCCTTCTTAATGTCATCCTGTGGGATTTGGGGTTTGAATAACTGGAGCAAATGCTGCTGTGAGCAAGGCACTCTCCTTTATTTTTCATCCAAGAGTCTCTTGTCTTCTGCCAGCATCCATGAAATGGTGGCAGGCCAACTTGCTAGCTTGCAAGCAAGGTAAGCAAATCTCAGACCCTTCAGAATTCTTGGCAAAACACCTATGAAGGAAAACGGGAAGGAAACTGGCATATCCTGAGACAGCTCTTAGACCGTGATACACCCCCTTTTTTTTTAGAGAGAAAAAAAAAAAAAAAAAAAAAAAAAAAAAAAAGGTTGGGTGAAGGAATCTTGGATGGTGTGCAGTTATAAGAACATTTTGAAAAGACTTATGAGGAGTCTTCCAGCCAATGACCCTCTTCAGAGCTGCCCCACATCTCATGGCTTGCTCACTATTCCTGCTGCACTCAATCACTGGCTGGAAGCAGCCTGTGGGAAGCATGGCCTTGGATCAGAAGTGATGGCGGATTCAGAACATAACATCTGGGGATGCCTGGGTGGCTCAGTCGATTGAGCGTCTGACTGTGGCTCAGGTTATGATCTTGGGGTTTGTGAGTTTGAGCCCCACATTGGGCTCTGTTCTGACAGCTCGGAGCCTGGAGCCCGCTTCCGATTCTGTGTCTCCTTCTGTCTCTGCCGCTCCCCCACGCGTTCTCCATCTCTCGCTATCAAAAATAAATAAATATATAAAAAAAACAAAAAGAACATAACATCTGGAACATTGGCCAGTACTTTATAGTGAGAGATCTGAGAGTCAATTAAGAGTCCTGTGATTCCAAAATGCTCTATTTTAAAAACAAAGTTGACCACACTATAATTTAAAGAGTTCAGAAAAATCTAGTGCATGGAATATTTAAAGTTTGGGTTGAGGAGTGTGTTGAACA